CCCAAAACCCCAAAACCCCAAAACCCCAAAACCCCAAAACCCCAAAACCCCAAGACAAAATTACCCATTGAAACAAGAAATATTAATTAATATTACCCGACTTCAAGAAAGATGCAATTTATTCAGACTTCTAAAGAGAACTACCTTAGGAATGTTCGAAGCAGACTAGCAGATATCTATACAGACAATGAATTAGAGCTTAATTTGCAGGTAGACTATGGAGCTGCTCCAAGTGAAATTTTCAGAAATTTTGCTATGGTAGAGGATATCCATGAACTCGATAAAAAGGAAATCTACAACTACGCTATTGCTATATTCGGAGTTCTCACTGATATTAAGGAGGAGAATAACAATAAATCAATGACTGAAGCCTTACAAGTTGCTTTTAGTTTTATTGAGGGATATACAAAGGACAGTCAGACCCAAGTAAAGCTATTTACCCTACTCTACAATGTCTTCAAGCAAACTGACAGATACAGATATGACATTTTCTGTAGGCTGCTTTCATTCTGTGAGGAAAATAACTGCATTGTTGCTGTCCAGAGCAACCTCCTTATTATTGACCAGATTGCCAACCAGTGGGAAATCACCAAGGAGGAAAGAATCACCCTATACAAGAGAATCATCTCGATCTTGATTGAAGAAGAGAAATTAGCAGCTTTTGAACTCATGCTTAAAACAATCAAACTTTTTGGAAATGACGAAGAATTGACCACTGCAAATAAGGACTTAATCATTAAGACAATCACTCTTGCTCTGGAACACCCAAAGCTTACTCAATTTGAGTATCTGTACAATATAGCAGCAGTCCAGATTCTGAAGAGCAAGAAAATTGAGGAGAAGATTATTGAATTGGTTCATATTTTCGCATACGAAAAGCTTGAGGACTACACTAAATGGGAGGAGAGCAACAAAGATTACCTTGAAGCTTCAGGAATGGAATCAACAATCCTTAAAAATAAAATTCTATATCTCTCCTTCTTCTCACTTGCTCTCAAAGATAGAGTAATTACATTCGATAAACTCGCCCAAACAGTAGGAATCTCCAAAGATGAGATTGAAGAATGGGTCACTGATGCTATAGTCAATGGAATTATCGATGCTAGAATTGACCAAGAAGAAGAGCAGGTTATAATCAACACATTTGCTCAAAGATCCTCAAACCTTAAAGAAAGAGTAGAGAAGACAATGGAAGACTTCAACTCTGTCCTGAAAAAGATTGATGCTTAATAATCAATAATATTCAACTCTTGATGCTAAGTTAGGGGTTTTGGGGTTTTGGGGTTTTGGGGTTTTGGGG